AGGTGGACTAACATTGAAAAGTACCACTTCATACACTGTAGCTATGGTTAAGTAGAAACAGCAGCTGTGACATGATCTTGGGATTTAAAATTATTAGAGCCTTCTACATGCATTCTTTCATATGAGAAGAGTATCACCACCAGGTCAAAGTTAAAACCAGTACACACAGAATTAATTATATTCAAATGAAAGGGAAAGGATTCTGTTTCCAAATACCAGATGCTGTTTCAGTAACACAAATATATACTCGGTGTCAGGCAGGAAGTGTGTACTGCACACAGTAGGGCAGGTATAGAAGCATGCAGCACAAGGGTTACCTCGTGCTTTGCTTGGTCATAACAAAACCATCCCCCTTTTATTTTGGTGGGAAACATTCTAAGACTCTCCGTCAAACATCAGAACTTCCCAGAGAAGATAGCTGCTCGCTTGGGACTCCAAACCAAGACCCGGAAGGGGACCATAGCTTTATGAAGGTGGGAGGCATAATTGTAATTCCCACTGGGAAGACTCAGAATCCCCTGTTGGTTTAATGATCCAGTATCACTGCCTATCTAGCTGAAAATCTCTGTGCAGAAAATGACAAAGGACATGAATCAAACACACACACACATACACACACATACACCGCTGCTGTACATAATGCCAGTTAATCAAGCACGGTAGCCTATAAACAATCCCCCTACCAAAGTCTTCTCTGCAAAAACCTTCTGACAACTGCCACAATTTCCCCACTGTCATCCACTGTTGATCCCATTTGCCTTCCTTGCCAGTATCCGTGTGCAAGGTGGAAGCCCAGAAAACCACCTGAAGCTGACCCAATCTTCAAGAATAACTCCAACTATTGAGTGGGTAGAGTTAGTCACTGATACAAGTAAGGTAAATGGATTTAATATTGTTATCTGCCAGATGTTTCTTTGATGAACAATAAAACATTTAATGGGCTCCAAAGGCTAAATTGTGTTATTCTTTGATTTCCATCCCTGTGATTGATATTGGGAAGCAGTGCTAGGGACCTGTTAGTGAGCAGTGTTCTGCCAGTGGCCTGTGAGTTCAGACCCTAGGTCTAAACTGACTCCTCATCTTGGCAGATCTTCCATGTCATGTGAGCTCTGTGTCACCTAACAATCTTGATGGCACTGCCTGGACCCCAGCCTCACATGGCACTGCAGAGTGAAAGTGAGGGCTCCCTCCTTGTTCCTCAGCCTCACAATCACATTTGCTAAGTCAGTATCTATTAATTCAGGTAAATAGGAATTTCATGTATGAGATTGTTGGTCCAACACTTTTGTAGGATGCTGAGATTCATTTTTAAAAAGAAAAAACTCAGTCTAACAGTGCCAGTTGAACAAGAAATGGGATTACCAGGCCACCATTTTGTGGAAATTAAATCAGCACAACAAGGTACGGAGAAGGGCAAACATCTTATCACTTAACTAAAAATTACCTTAGCTACCTTTGACTTCCATCATTGTTTTGGGGTTTTATTGTTATTTTGTAGCCCATTGGTGTTTTATCTACAGGAGACAGGAAAAAAATGCCCAAGTTCATAGATTCTTGCTCAAAAATGTGATTAGGCAGAGCATTTCATGAAATATTGAACTGTCCTATAAAATACCAGTGAAAGCTGTGTTGAACTTGAAGCATTGACTCCTATTGATCATGATTTGAGATGGTCACTCTAACTTCCCCAAAGCCACTTCCTCTTGTGCACACACACATTCCTTTGTCTCAAGCTACGCGTGTTTTGCAGTTTATTTGTTCTCCCAAACGGCATGTTAGAAATGCAAAGTATGTGTATTAGAAGTTTCAGTACCTTGAAATTGGAATGTAGGGTGAGTCATGAGTGTTGTGTCAATTATTCAACAGTCCTAGATGAAGATATGTAGAGATGGATGGGTCAGTAAAGTATTCTGGTTCCATCTACCAGTTTAGCCATGATAAATGGGTCAGGAAACGTTAAAGTTCAAAATAGGAATTAACTTGAGCTGCAGTGGCAAAGGTAGACTGTAGCCTGATGTGAACAATCTCATATGTAAACCAATCAGCTGGTAGGATTAAAAGAAAGGTAAAGCCTGCGAGTGCTGAGGAATTTTGGGATCCAGCCTTGCCAATCACTGTTTCTCTTGCAAAATGAGCTACATTCTCAATCCTCATTTTTTTTTAAATTTGGAGACAAGGTTTTGCTATATCACAAAGTTCCTGAGACTGAACTCAAACTTGCAGTCCTCCTGCCTCAGCCTCCCAGAATACTGGGATTACAGGCATATGGCGCTGTACCCAATTCTTACAAGATTATTGAGAGAGATGTGGCACTGATGAACAATAACACTTAGAAAACAAATAGGACATGTCTTACCATCTGGACCATGCCTACTATTCTGTATTGCCAAATTCCAATAATATTGGCTGAGATCATGTGGCTTAGATGAGACCTTGAATCCTACCTTTGACCTTAGTGGCGCCTAGGAGCAGATTAAATACATTTTCAGAGTGTAAACAAAAGGAGAGTGTATATGTTATCCCAAGGAAAGCAAGTTTTGTTTCATTTCTTGGCAACTGAGGCCAGGGTTCACCTTGAAAAATGCTGCTTAACCCTTTCTTGTAATACTCATCCTCACCAAAATGAAAGGCCTACTTTTTTGTTCCGAGAATCAGTGAAATGAATCTAAGAGCACCTGAGTCTACCCACAACTCTAGAGCTCTGTGTTAACATTGCTGCCCAACCAAAGGGCACAAACTACACACAAGCAGAATCTTAAAACTGAGCCCTTGAGCATAAACAGGGCATTGCTAACCCCAAGTCTGAGCTCCCCTTCACCCTTCCTTTGTTCCTTGCTACTCACATTCTGGGAAGTGTTAGTGTTTGAGTAATCTGAGCACCTCAACTCATCCCTGAATATTTGACAGGGCCTGAAAGTGAAAAGAAACAGCTTACCTGCCTTAGGTTCCATCCAGGTCAGGAATATCTGTGCTTAACTCTTTGCTAATCACTCACTGGAAAGCTGAAACTAGTAACTAACATGAGAAGTGCACCCCAGCACTCTGTGCTCTGCATCAGGGTGTCCCAAACAACTGCACATCCTGAGCCACCTTCTCTTCTCGGTACATGAGAGTGATTTGCTAAGAGGCACAAACTATAACAAAAAGTGATCAGTTTCCCAGCCGTACTGGATGTGATTACTCTGACTCCCAGGCAATGGTTATATAAGCAGCCTGCTAAAGTTATATCAAGAGCTCAGCATAACTTCCTTTGCATTGTCTCCCTAAACTTAATTCATCAGAGAAGTCTTCCTCAGAAAGTGGACTCGATTTCTGGCTTAGATCATTAATAAGGAATGTGCAGCACTTTCCAGATGAAAGCTGCATAGGCCAGAAGGCATAAGCTGGTCACCATAAACTACATTGAATGCAGAAACAAGATAGCTTTTATTATCATAATGCTGAAAAAATTAGCCACCAGAATATAAAATGCAAGAGATTTTTGCATAAAATTTAGATGCTTGGCTGCTGCTTCAAAAAAAAAAATGAGAATGTCAGACAATGCAATAATTTTTGGCTCTAGGTGCCTTAAACTGAGTAGTTTCTTGTTCCTTAGAAAGAGCCACCGCCTTTTCAGTGTACCTGGATTACTTCATCCATATTATTCTGTGCCTGGGTAGGAGTGGGGCTTGCTACCTGTGAGGTGACTCATCTAAGAGGCCAAAATAGGAGATAGTGAATTTGTCTACAAATGTGCCTGAGTTGCAAGTGACAAAGACTGATGCTTATTATTTTGGCTTCTGCACAAAAGATGACCATTAGAAGGATTTTATAGATGGAGAAAGATAGTTACTGTATGTCAAGTAGAGAATTTTACACTACTTACCTGAATAGATCAAGCATACGAGGAAAACCCTGAACCGATGATACAAAAGTAAGATTGGAGGTTTCAATTATTCAGGGGTAATTGCCTTACTTTCCACCTCACTGTTTCCCCTTTGCTTTCCTTATATAGACATAATCTTCAGCATATTTCTCAGTCAAAAAGGCCATAGTCATAATTCCTCTGCCTCTTTTTCTTCCTTTTTTTTTTTTTTTTTTTTTTTTCTCACTTGCACACTTGGTAGCAATTGTTGGAGCCCTACAGGGGAATAATTGGGGAGAATTAACCTCTGACATTTTTCTAAAAATAGCTTTAATAAATCCAATCATAGGTAATTTACCTGTCCATGTTTCTCTGGGAGTAACCGCCATTGAAGAAAGACTTGGCAGGCTGGCGTCCTTCAGCGATTATCTGGGATCTGAGTTACTGGCGCCTGTGTCTTTTCTCTGTTTAGAAATACAGAGTGCAGATTGCCCTTTCCCCTCTGACCCCATGACCTTTTTTTCTCAGCACCCTTCCAGAACTGGAATAAGTCCTTGCTTTTCCATAAAGGTGTGCTGGGCTAACACAGAAAGGGGGAGCATGGGTGGAGCTGGAGCATTTACAGCATCCTTCCTTGAATTTCCAAGGGTCTGGATCTACTCTGTTCTTCCAATTTTGGCTCCAGTGTTCCAAGCATCCTAACCTTGCTTCATTTAAATTGTCAACCCTAATTTGCATTGTCACCACCATACCCAATCTGGAGAAGTTTTCTGATGTTTAAGACAAGGAAAGGAAAAAAGCTACAGGTCATGGGTGGGTAGAGGAGTTGTGGTTAGCAGACATTAGACAAGAAAGCTGTCACTTCCCTGATCCTTAAAGAAATTCATTTTCCCAAACCAAAAGCTCCAAGCATGTTTTTCCCTTTTGTTATCTCCAGATGTTCCAAGAGAACACCGTGCAGTGTGGGCATCTAGGAAATACACGTTCCCAAGTGCCACTCCTGGTGGCATTTAAAATATGGAACATAAAATCCTCGTGAATTCCACTGCACAGACAAAGCTCTAAGCCCTTAAATGCATGGAAAAGTATGTCTATTATCTATCCTTTCAAAGTAAGTGTGCAGTTACTTAAATTGCCTTTGTCTTCTTCTTTTCAGCTGACATTATCTCTACGGTAGAATTCAACCACACAGGAGAATTACTAGCGACAGGGGACAAGGGGGGTCGGGTTGTAATATTTCAACGAGAGCAGGAGGTAAGTGGCAGTGAATGCAAAATGCCCATTTTCTTCTCTTTTTAAAGGAGAGCTCCTACTGTTCCTTAATCCTTATGTGTCATCCTTAACCTTGCTGCTTTGTTCACAAACTTAAAACTGCAGAAGAGTCATCAGCATTACCAGCTCCACACTCAGACTCAAAAGCATCCTTAAAAAGAGCTTTTTCTACATATGGCCTTATCTTTCCAAGCCTGGATAGTGTACATTCAAAAGGATTTTACTTCTTATGTGACCTGAAAAATTCCATGGGTGCTTACTGAGCATAACTCTTCCTTTTGAACTGCTATGTGTCCTCAGTCTATTGAAATTCAGTCTCCTTCAATTTCAGGGACTGCCAGAATATGCAGCAGGGGGAAAAATATCTTTATTTGCCAACAGATATGAAGGGGAGAAGTTGAGTCAGTAAAGAAGAAAGTGATAGCACACCCTTCCAACAGGAGTGGAGTTCCACAAAGTGACATCTCAACAGAAGTAGCCAGCAGACACATTAGCATAGGTGACAGCTCCCTAGAGCTGAGTGCTATATGCAGCATGATTTCTGAGCATGGGCTATAACTTCTGGTGAATCTCAAAAAGCCCATTTCTTCCTGTGACCTGGGTTCCACTAGGAATTATTTCTCTTTTTCATATAAATTGAGTTTTTTGGTGTCTGCTTCTGTTTTTTTCAGAAAGGAATTATGGCCCAATTTGATTTCCTTGTCCTCCCCTGGCACGGTCTTAGAGCCTCCAGCAGGCTGATCTGTGTTCTAGTAACTCTCCCATCTGCCACCGCCTGCCTCTGAGATTCACCGGGCACTGGGGAAGCGAGAGGGAGGCCCAGCATAAGAGGAAGCCTTCACAAGAGACTTCCCTAGCAATTTAATGCCTGCTTTGTGCCTCAAAGCCATTTGCATTACACCTCCCCTCAAAAAAGGAAAGCCTCATTTAGAGGTGATATATTTGGTAATTGCACATTATTTGCAATTAATTTCTATAAGGGCATCCTAATCCCTCGGGGTTCTGTATAAATTCAAGTGCTCAGCATTAAATCAGGCACCCAGCCTATTGCATTGGCCCTGGAAACGTGAAAATGTGGTTGGCAAGTAGGAACTAATAGCTCTTCGTGACCTGGAATTTTTCCTGCTTTTCCAGAGCTGCCTGGTGCTAATTGGTCTGGCACATACTACACACACTTGACAGTCTGATTTGGATGGTAGCAAATCAACACTCATAAATTTATTGTTAAGGTGGACTGATGCTCCAAGTAAGTGAGCAGGGTAGTAGCAGCTAGTATGTCAGCATTTAAAGTCATGTGAAAACTGATTTTCAAACCTCTGATTTTAAAAAAATCCAATTAGGTTCACAGTGATGATAAAGAGGAACCCGAGGAGCTATTTAGCATAAATTACCCAGGGCAGCATGTTGCCGGTAATATTTCACCCCACATTTTCCTTTAGCTATTTATAGGTGTCACCCATTTTAATTGACAGAAATATTTAAGAAGTCTGATTCATTAGTAGAATGGTGGGGAACATATTTTTGAAAGTGAAGCAGTGGTGGTATTCACTGGAAAATAAACGTGAATGAGGGTCAAGAACATGCAGGAAAGTTTTTGGCTTGGGAAGATATCTGGGAATTAAAATATAAGCTGAACCATACCAACAAAGCCATGGAACATCATTTTGGAGCAGGCTTGCTTTTAACTTTTGTGAGTGAACTCTGCATGTGCATTTTCAAGGGGCACTGTTCCAAGAGGGTTAGGGTTAGCCAGGCCAGGGCCAAAGCTTTGGATGGAATAGCTCTCACACCTGGGTCCCGCATCACTACCTACTGCTCAGCTGAGATGTGGCTCTGGATGTTCTGTATCACCAAGGACCGTCTTAAACCTCCCATTAAAAATCAAGCTTTTATCACAAATGTTTAATAAGACCCAGATTTGAATTTTGAACAGTTCTCCAAAGCCTTATCTCCAAGTTCTTAGAATGATCCAAAACACCTTACTTGAATCCTCCCTGCCTTCCCCTCCTCCTTCTTTGGCTCACTTTAGCACCTCCTTTTTCCTCCTCTTTCTTTCTTTTTCTTTCTCTCTCTCTCTCTCTCTCTCTCTCTCTCTCTCTCTCTCTCTCTCTCTCTCTCTCTCTCTCTCTCTCTCTCTCTCTCTTTCTCCAGTCACTTAGCCTCCTGTTTCATTCTCTCCTCATTTATTTAATTCTTGCTGTTTGCACTTTGCATAATCAGTGCCAGGGGAAAGCAGAGGTGAAGCCTCATCATTCTCTTAAACATGCAGATGGCACCTCATTGGCAAAAAAGGGAAGGCATAGTGCTCAGATCTGCTCTTTATGAACTGTGTGACCATAAGAAGGTCATTTAACGTTTGATCCTCATTCATCTATGTGCCGGTCCTTCCTCTCACTTCTCAGAAACTTTGTGTGAGGATCAGGTGAAATATTAAAAGGCCAATGACCATAAAGTAAAAGGCAGTAAAAGTTGCAGTTGCTACAACTCTGTACTTTTTTTTTTTAAGGAATGGATATAAGTATTTGTGGGCATCATTTGGGATATCTCACCCCAGAAGATATGGGAGGCATTTGTTGGGGAACACAAAATATTAGAATTTCTATTTGTATCAATTTTAAAATCTTGTCTTTTTTAACTTGTGTATATATGATGTTCATACATTAGTGCAGAAGTCCATGTATATAATTTATAAGTGAATGCATGTGTACTGGAGATTTCAAGATTTACCAACAGGATGGATAACCTAGCCTCAGAGGCCCTCCAGCTAAGGTAGCACATGTGACCATCTTGGCCTTGGCCTCGGCCTCATCCCACTGTGACATGGCCTCCCCTGCCCACCCCTTAATGACACTGTTCAAAGAAGAGGAATTGGTGAGTTGGAAATTGGCTTCTATGACTTAACCTTTTGTGTAATTTTCCCTTCCTACAGAGCAAAAATCAAGTTCATCGTAGGGGTGAATACAATGTTTACAGCACATTCCAGAGCCATGAACCAGAATTCGATTACCTGAAGAGTTTAGAAATAGAAGAAAAAATCAATAAAATAAGATGGCTTCCTCAGCAGAATGCAGCTTACTTTCTTCTGTCTACTAATGGTATGTGGGGGTGATTTTTCCTATTTGACATTTTCAGAGATACAGTCAGCCAACCATAGATGTCAATCTCTCTCAGACTCAATTTTCTTCTATACCTTGTGGGCTCTTGAAGAACTTAGAAACCACAATTGCGATATTCTGAGCAGCCCCTGGCACACACAGAGTAGGCCTTCAGTAAATAATAGCTATTCTTGTAAATACCAAATTGATGACCCAATTACATGAAACCCATTATCTGTAGTTTTCAACTAATGTAGATTATTTACAGGTGTTTTATTGAATGTGACTTCCCATCTCAAGATTCACTGAGTGGTATTCTGGGAAAACATCTCAGGAAACTCGACATGCTCCCTCTTTGAGTTTGGCGTATTGAATAGAAGTTATTAATCCCTGCATATATTTTAGGGTCTGGAAAGCAGATGGTTGTGTGTCATCTGATGAAATCAAATTCTAAGCTAGGAGCATAAGAGATAGGGACACTGCTCAAAAAAAAAAAAAAAAAACTGATCAAGCAAGAGGTTCCCTCTCTATTTCCTTTCAAACTCTTATACCATTTGTTGATTTAGGGAAACATTGATATAAGTAGGTCGTGAGAGAGGAGGTTCAAGGGAAGGCCTTCCACACACCACATGCCCTCAGTGTGTACAGTTATCTGTCCTCTGGGTTATTCAGCCCTTGCTAAAAACAAGTCATCTGAGCTCAAAACCTTTTGAAATAAAGCCATGTGTTAAAGGGTGCTAACTGACTACCATAACAAGAGGATTACTATATAGAAATTAAACACCATTTCCCAAGCAAATAAGTGAGAAAGTAATTCACTTCATCTTGTATGTGAATCTGAGGAGTGTATACATTAATATAGATCAAAATCAGAGAATTTGCTTTTACTTATACCTAGTATTTAAGAGTGGGTGTAGTTTAAAACTATGTCTAGTTAAAAAATGCTGATAATATCAGGGGCTGGGGATTTAGCTCAGTGACACAGCACCTACCTTGCAAGCAGGTGGTCGTGAGTTCAATCCTCAGTAACGATAAAAAAAAAAAAAAAGCTGATGTCCATAATATGATCAAGATGTTATTTTTGAAGAATAGGAGGAAATACACCAAAAAATTCACCATGATTAATTTTTGCTTATGCATTAAAATGACATGAGTATTTGTTCCTCTTATCATCTCAACTTTCTAAGGTTATACAGTGAGTCACATATTAATCTTATGAAAAAAATCGGGAAATTTTTAATGCACATGAACCCCAAATCTCTTAAATACAAACTCAGTGTACAAATGTAAAACACTACCACTCTGAAGCTTGCAGTTATCCAAGCAAATCGCATCTCAACATGACTAGCTCTCAGCTCTCTGTTCTTCTGTTATTCCATATTTCAAGTAACTTAATTTTCTCATAACTATATTTATTATTCTGTTTAATTTTTAAAGCCAAACCACACAATTTTGTTGCAAATCCATCTTTAATTTTGCTGTTCAGGTTTCTTCAGGTGCTCTGTAGTTTTAATATTTGTTGGAATAAAAGAGATTTCTGCTGGTTTTGACTTAATTGCTTCTGGCAGGGGAAAAGTATCTGATTACCTTAGCTAGATTATGTTATATTATGAAATTTAGCCTATTGATTATTCCAATAAAATTCAGACTTATTAACTACTTTGCAGGGGGGATGGGAAGGAAAATGAAATGCAATGAAGATTAATTATATAGCATAATGTTCTGTTAATTGAGTTTTTAAATAGTTTTTTGATTAACAAAGATATCTTCCATTTGAGATGCTATTTCATATGTCAGCAGCATCTCAAAATGATTTTTATAAGAAAAATTCTCATGATCTTATATGGTTTTCTTTTTATACCAACATTGAGGTTGAATATCTCCCCAAGCTAAATAGGTTAACGTGCAAAAATTAATGGGAGACAATTGAAATTACCGTACAAAAGAGAAAATGAAGCTAAATGATAACATTGTGTTTAAAGCTATCACAAGTGATGATAAAATACTCAGAGAATCAGCTAGAAGAAAGAAAGAGCCATTCCTCATAGTACCACCACATGTGCCTTAGTATTCTTTATTCACAAAGCTTTAAGACACTGGGTCTAAAAACTGGTGTTCTGATAAAGTCAAGAATGACCTCAAGCAATACAACCATGGGGAATTACATTGAATTCTCTGTCAATTATCTTTTTTTTAAAAATTGGACTTGTCTCATGATCATTGTATGCAGCTTTTACTTTCTACTAGAATGTTTTTAACTTAATAATTTTTAATGAAAAATACCACTAATATTCAATTGTGAATCTAGACCTTGAATTTACTTGTCGTGTAAAATACATTACTTTACCTAACCTCCTAGTTATGCATTTAAATTTATAAGAAGAGACACTGAAGTTTTGTTTTTATGAAAGTAGTATGTGTTCATTGTAAAATTTGGAAAATGCAGAAAAGCAAAATGAAAATAAAGGTATTCTAATCCATACAGAATACACTCAATGTCTTTCAAAGAAAAGATGAAAAGGATACGTAAACCTACTTTTTAACATAATTCAATATAATCTACAAACTATTTTGTACTCAGGTTTTGAATAATATAACCCTTAGTTAAAGAGCTATTTTCCTAATTGTTAAATTTTCTTCTAAAATACCATAACATTTTCAATGACTGCATAGTATTCCCTTGTTTAATTTTTTTATAGTTTACTAATAATTCCACATTGATGGACCGTTAGTGGTTTATAAATTATCACTACTATAAATTATAAAAAATATTTATATATAACATATTCTTATAGATATATTTATAGGAATACACATTGGTATGGATAAATATATAATAGGCAAAATACATTATCAAATATATAACATGTTTATACATAATCATATAATTGTATAAGCAAATATACAACAATTTTCACAATAGTTATCTCTAGTAAAAGTAAGGAAGGTTTTGTTTTGTTTTTTGATTTTTTGGTTTTTCAAGACAGGGGCTCACTGTGCAGGTCAGACTGGCCTTCAGCTCGCTATGTAGCTGCCTTTGGACTCAAAGAGGGACATAGTTTTACCTGGCTGCTATTTTCACTTTCTAATTGCAAAGAGATATACTTTTTATCTAATAAGAAAGTGGACATGATAAAACTCAGTCTTTATATGCAGCATGACTGTAGGTTTGCAACCGTCTGCAAAAAAACAACAAGGAAAACATACTCTAAGAATTTATCTAAAATGTTCACAGTAAATTGTTCCTGACTAAAAGAACTAATGGTGATTATTATTCTTTTTCACCTGTGATTTCTTTCTTTGTATAGCAATTTTTCATTCACGATAAAAATGTAAGATAAAAATGGCTTTGCACGTGGGATGGGACACCTTTCAAAGTGAAGCAACATAAAATCTTTGGTGCAAAAATTCACAGACACTCGGGTTCTCAGCCATAGCTGATCAGGAACTAATCAAGTGGCTATAAATATGGTTCATTCTCTCACCCTAAAAAACAGTTTCGTGTGCAGCAGGATCTCCAGAGAGGGTGGGAGGAGAAGTGTTGGCACAAAGACAGATAGTTCTAAATTAATCCCGCAGCTGGGAGCACATCTGCACCTTTTACCTCATGGTAGGTCAAGGCGAGTACACGGGTGACAGTGCACAGATCGTACATTTAGCACCCTGCCAGGTAGGATCAGACTGAACCAGCCCAGTGATGCCCAGAAATGTGGAAGCGGGGTGCTTCCCTTTTCAGTCCCCTTGTTCTTGAAAGTCCACAGATCCCCGAGACGAGGCATTTGTTTCCCACTGCTTTAAAGGGTCATCACCATGGCTTCCTATCCCTTTGTTTGCGATATCTGTCCTCCTGAAGGCAAGGAAATTTGGAAGCGACTGTGTGGAGCTAAATGAGGAAAAATGGAAGAGTGAGATAAAGGAGCAAAGAGAATCCTATTACAGACAGAGGATAGGGGCAGCTTTTGCCCCCTAGCAAGACTTCAGAGACGAAAAGTTCCTGCAGACATCGTCATGGGATGAGGCTAAAACCGTGAAAGCAACATGTGATTATTGCAGAATAGCTGCTCAATTTGTGAATTTTATTCACAGCTGCCTGTTGGCAGGTCATTATTAAAAACCCAACTTTGTGCTAAATATGCTACATGTTGTGATTCACTTAATTTAAGAGTCTCATGAGGAATACAGTATTTCCCCTAATTTGCAAGTAAAGAAACTGAGGCACAAAGTAACTATCTTTACTTGGTAGTGCCAAAATACATGGAATATACTTCCACAAAAATTATTTGTTGTCTACTTGAAGTGCAAATATTAGTGCACATTGTTTATTATTTTTGCTGCAATAGGTAGTCATCTTATTGGTCATTCAAGAGATGCTATTATGTGTCTTCTGCACAAAATTCCTAGCCGGAAGCCACATAACTGGCAAGAAATAGACTCAGGATTAGGCCCAAGGTTGTCTGATCCAAAAACCTACCATGACAGGTATAAGGAGGTCTAGTGTCCCTGCCTTCTACCAAAGAAATCAACACAAGAATAAAAAGTGAATGGAGGATTGGATAAGGAAGACATACAAAGGCATGTGGCCCACAGATACAATTTGTTTAAGCCCAAGCATGTTTCCTTTAAAAACAGGACGTTTCACAAACGTCTTCTAATAAAACCTTTTAAAAGCCAATTGAAAAAGTAAAGAAAAAGTATAGACGTGAAAGCAGATAGGTGAGGCTTGCCATCTCCAGTTCTCTGGAACTCCTCAACCCTTATACTCCTCCCCATACTATGACCCTTCTAGGGTTCTCATCAAGTGGTGCAAGGTGCTGGGACAATCCAAAGATGACCCAGGCCATTTCACTGGCAATGACAAGAAGACAACAAGGAAAAAAAAATTTGGATATATCAACATATCATGTTATTCCACCAACTGTTACTAGAAATATGCACTGTATAGATGAGATTGATTCATTCATCCAACTGATGTTTAGTGAGTGTCTACCATGTTCCTGGCACTGTTACAGGTGTCAGAGGTTCGGTGCTGAACAAAATAAGCAAAATCTCTGCCTCCAGTGAGTTTACATTCTAGTGAAAAGCATATAATATATAGCCAACCGACTACCCAATTAGCAAACCAATTTTTTGACATAGTAAAAAAGTACTATGCCCCCCCAAAGGAGAAAAAATCATTACAGAAAGGTGGGGAAGACAGCGTTTTTATATAGGTCACATGTGAAGTTGGGGCATGCACAAAAAGCAAAGTATGGAAGAGACCAAAGCACAGTGACTGTTTAACTTTTTAAAACTTCACTATAGTAAAAGACACTTTACCACTAAGCCCCCTCAAAATGCTACCCGATCTCTGAATCCACTGCTTCTTGCTATTTTCCTAAGCAGTTCTGGAAGTCCTCTTTCATAGGCGTCTCCAGCTGTACAGTCATGTCTGCCTTGAGGCCCTCAAGGTCAATGTGTCTCTTACTGTAATTTTTTTTCTTCATTTGACTGGACCAAGTTATATGGAAAAGGATAAGAGGCTTTCCTGCAAGAATTCACAGCATGTGCAAAGACCCTAAGGACAAGCATGAGCTTAATAGAGGGAACAGTAAGGACTCCAGGTGGCAGAAGCACAGTGAGTGAGGAGCAAGACTGAGATCAGAAAGGTGGAGGAGTGGAGGGCGCAGGTTAGGAAGGGCCGGGCAGGACGGGACAAGGACCATGTTACAGCCATGTGGGATAATAAAATGGAGATACAATAATACCTACCTCCAGAGTTGGGAAATTAAATTTCCTGTAGTGCTAATGTGATAAACTCTAGCCACACTTATTATTCAATATCCAATGTAATTTTTTAAATTTTTATTGTGTTACCCTGATTAATGGAGAAGCTATAGCTTTGATAATACATTGTCAGGGAAAAAAAAAAAAAAAAAACATATGCCCCAGCACAGGCAATGGTTTTGTTCTGAACCATGGACTCTGCTTCACAGGACAAGATTCACGAACGGCCACCCTTTGCAAGAGCCACTTCTGTAGCCCCTCGCCCCACTGTTCCCTCTCCCTCTTCCCCCTTAGCCTGCACACATGTCCCTGTAGCTCTGACTTCCTCTGTTGGTCCCCACAGATAAAACTGTGAAGCTATGGAAAGTCAGTGAACGTGATAAGAGGCCAGAAGGCTACAATCTAAAAGATGAGGAGGGTCGGCTCCGGGATCCTGCTACCATCACAACCCTGCGGGTAAGTGCAGAGTCACATGTTTCAGGGACCTTGGCCTCCCAGGTTGGGGAATGCTTCCTAAGGTTGGCAGTATGCTGGCTGCCACTGCAGGTTACAAGTGTAATGTGCACGTGAGGCCACTTGGGCAGAGACTCAGCCTAACCCAGTCTCTAGTGGCAGATGGAGGAGCGGGAAAGGCGCCAAACCCTAACGACTACAAATCTACACTTTTGCTTTTGTCCCTGAGGACTTGCCACATGGCCACTGCCATACGTTACAGTATTCCTAGCCTCTGTCTGTTCATATTATCGAAAACATCTTGAGTACCTTCTGTACTCAGAGCATGGGGAAGAGACTACCTGCCTAGAAAATTGCACTGTGATCTTGTGATTCAGGATGCAAACTTCAGGCTCTCATGGGCTGGGGTTGAATTTTGCCACTTAGGAGAACCTCATAGTCACTTAACCTTGTTGAGCTTTAGTCGTGCAAGTTATTTTTAGTTTCTCCATCTGCAACATGGTGACCTTAATTCCTACTGCCCGTGGATTTATGAAGTTAAAAACACAAGGAGAATGAGAAGCCCGCCCTCTGTGGCCCATACACTCAACACACGACCTCTGCTCTCAGTCTGAATGACTTCCTCCCTGCCTTCCAGAAATGTATATCCTGGTAAGGAGGGAGGGTTTGTGTAACTTAATATGCAAATGATTATAACTCTAAGCACAGTAAGACTTGTGCACAGAAAGAGATTGTCAGAGTTGCAGTTTGACCAAAGGAGGAAGAAGTTCCACATCATTGTGGGAGGCTAGGAAAGGCCTCAGGAAAGTGATGGTGAAAATGGATTTCTAAAAGCGAACTTGTAAGGGAAGCCTCTCAAGATGTACGATAAAGTGGCTCAAAGCTGGATGATGAGTTTGGCTTTAAATGTGATCACTGTGAATAGTAAAGCAGGCACATGTTGCAACCAGCCCCAGCCACAAGGGACTTTTAAAATTGTGTAAAACATGTGCTTTCAGACAACAGCTGCTCTGCTGAGGAGCAAACACTGAGAAAGGAAGGTAGTGAAGTATATGTGGAGAAAAGGGGCTCTTACTGTGGGATTAAAAGCATGATTATGATTTATATCTGGATGTCCCCCCCAAAAAAGCCTCATGCAGTCATGGGGCTGGGCCTTTCAAAGGTGGCTAAATCTAGTATTTGTGATTGGTTCACTGTCTAGCACTGGGATTGGTGGTGTGAGCTCTACACCTGCTCACAGGCAGGTAGGTAGCACACAATATAAGGGAAGGAAGGAAGCATACTTTGCCCTTTTTTGCCCTTTTGCTATCTGCCATACCCATCAGCTGAATATGGACTGAAATCTCCACAAACTGTGAGCTAAATAAACCTTTCCTTCCTTCATTTTGGGTGTCAAGTGTTTTGTCTCAACAACAAGAGGAAAATAACAGAAAGCATAGATTAGATCATTAATCAATGACTGATTAGCTCATTTGTTCATTCATTCATTTGTCCATGTATTCATTAGATGTTTGGAACACAGACTTAGCTGGCCACTCTGGTGCTGGGAGATGTAACCAGTACAAAGGGAAGTTGACGCTTCAGGTGTGCTCCCTCAGACCCAACACCCACTGGCTGCTCTGTTTCCTCTGGTCAGCCTACACTTTCCACCCCAGCTAACTTCCATATAGATATATATATTAGACTAGATGCAAGAGGCACACACTCACCCTGATGCTCTAACTGTGCAAACATTTTAGAGACCAAGAGCAGAGGAGTGAAGAGCAGAGAAATCAGTTGATCTGGGGTGGCTTAGAATTTTGGCTCTGTTTCTCTCCAGCTGGTCACTGTGGGTTTTTCACTTGAACCCTCATGCCTCCAGAGTCTTACCTGAACTTAGCTTGTGTGATGTCTGGCCCAGAGAAAGTGCTCAATGTTAGTGCTCTACAGTAGTTAAAATATTACCATCACCACTACCACCATTGTAACTAGCATGGCCTACACCCTGCTGGTATATATATATATATATATATATATATATAATTTTTATATTGTTGTGTTCATTCTACTCAAAGACATTGAATAAGCAGTGAAGAGTGATTTCATGACCCAGCGGATAATTAAGATCATTTTTCGCCCCGCGGGGGAACTATGGGGAAAACTATGGATTAGGAGTTTATGTCAAGAACCTCTACCCAGATTTCATCTTATCCTGTTTGCCATGTAGGTGAAATTTCTCAGATGTTATAGATCCCTTTTGTCCATGCCATTCTGTGGGACTCCCTATATCTATAAACAACCCCTTAAGGAGTTCAGCCTTATGATAAAGAAGAGAGAAAGCCTATGTAAGTTCCCAGTAGAGCGGAGATCTTCCCTATGACAAGACAGTGATGCTAATGAAGACTTCATAGCAAACATAGAAGGAACCCTGAGACATGGCTGGGAGATAGAAAATCCCATGTCTCACTCTTGAATTTTTTTTAATTAACCAGTTTTGTGACCCTGGCTAGCAAGTTGCATTTCTTCACTACTAGCTTTGTTTTTCAGCTACTAAGCAGAGTACTGACAAATGCCTATTATTGAGGCCCATCCCCCCTGGGGTGCTCTATAGGAATCTGCATTTCCTATACTTTATTCCGTGGTTGAGGCAAGAGAGGCTGTGGTCCTTCAACATTCCTGTCTCTAATGCTCCTTGGAATTGACATTTTTGTGTGCCCCTGTTGTTTTTCAACCATGTGACAGTTATTGTACCAATATGGGAGATGCAGTTCGCTTAAAATTATTTTACCCATATCTGATTTAGCCCCTCTCCCTTTCTGGGCTTTCAAATATCCTGCATTTCAGTGTAAACACCCACAAGCCAGCATTCTTTCTTTCTGTGCAAATCATGAAAAGGCCAGCCTGCTTTTCTCTTTGATCTCAGTGGTAGAAGAAGAAAAAAAAAACAGGCAACTCTGAACCACAGATTCAGAACAATGACTCCAAGAAGGGAACCATTGACCTGACATTAATCAGACTATAATTTACTAACATGCTCTGCTCTTGAAATTTGCATTGCCAGCAATTGTTTCTCTTTTTTCTTTTCTTTTCTTTTTTCCTTCTCTATACTATGATTACCTCTCACTCACTGTCACAGCATCTGGTTCTGCGCTGGTTTTGAGAGTGAGAGCATTTAATAATACCTGACAGCTAATTAATCCACACTGTGTAATGAACCTGTTCTCTTACGGTTCTGAGAGTTTCAGCTTTTTAAAGCAAAAACGTGGCTATTTTTTTCCACAGAAAATACCCTTTCACAACCAATCACTTGTTACCCTAAGAGCCTGTGGGAAGCATTTCTATGAAAACTGTACCCACTGCTCATTATTGTAGCATTCCAAGTAATAATCATGATAATTTAATAAAGCCTTCTGGTTTTAAAACGTCATTGACATCACAAAATATTTTCTTACTATCTTCAGGGCAGACAATGAGGAGAGCAGTACAGGTATTTGACAACGTGAAAATATTGGTACCTATTACTCACGAGGCTTTGTTCTACCCCACCCACCATGCCAGTGTCCTAACCTACATCGGCCACCTCATGGATGTAGTTCACTGCTGAGATACCCACTTAGCAGATAAGGCTTCAAGAGATTAGTCAAGTGCCCTAGATCACACAGGGCTGAGACTGACACCTTGATCTGGTGCCTGGGCCCTTAGATACAACACAGCTCAGAGAAGGAAAGTGACTTGCTTTTGATTTATTATCCTAGAACTAGGACTCAAAATCAAGTGTTAGGGCTCTCTTAAATGGTTTCCTGAATAATTAGTGGCATAATCTAGGTTAGAGGAGCTTCTCTCTCTTCTTCTTTTTCTCTCTTGAGCCCTTGAAGCAAGCAGACATTTCCATAAACTCCAAGTTTGCAGACCCCTGACCCAAGCATGGGAAAACAAAGACTTTGATGTCATTTTTGGTTTCACGTAGCAAGATGTGACATCCCCTTCGTTTCCATCCTCCCAATGCTCCGGGGAAATGGTCCCTCAGAGGCCTTTCTAGGCAACGGGGCTGGTATTCAAGTGACTTTGTCAGCCTGACTTGGGAGCCTGGTGGAGAGAAATCACACTTAGCCTACTCCCTGGAGGATGAGCCCAGAGGCATTATTTTCCTCATTCTGATTGGTTGCTGGTGCCCTGGGAACACAAGCCAGGCTGAAATTTGATTTTTAGCATGCTATAAATATAGTCTGGAAGGTATGAGCTCCCAAGCTGTGATGTGTCATAACTTGTTTCCCCCAAAACGTAGATCTAATGTGTTGAGTTTTTTAATGGATTTTATACAAATACCCCCAGTCTAACTAACAGAAATAATCATTGCAATAATTGCAATAATAGCCACTGTTTGTTGATTGTTTACTGTGTGTTAGGTGCTAGATTTTATTACCTTATGTTACTGAGACTTCCTAGTCCCTCTCAATTAAGTTCCCTCTGAAACCATTGTCCTCACTTCCGTTCAGTCCCGGAAGTTGCCACCTTATCACAGAGGCCTGCAGAGTCCACCTGGTGGAAGATGGCACGCTCATCCTTCCCAGCCACTGTGTCCTAACCTGCCATTTTTTCTTGGCTCTTATCCTGGCCTTGAAAGCCTCCCTCCTCTCCCCAGCAAAATATAACCTCCATGAAAGCAGGGACAGTGTAGCCCCAGCACCTAGGTGGTGCCTCGCAGATGGTAGGCACTCAGTAACTATTTGAAAGATGAATGTATTACACAGAAGTGGAAACTGAGTTTTAGAGTAAACAGGAGGTTTGCCCAAGATCTCATGGCTACAAAATGGAAGAGCTGGGATTCAAACCTGGTCCATTCGATCCAAAATCTTGTGTTCTGTTGCTATCCAGGTAAATGTTAATTCATGATCACATGAATCTCAGAACTTGTTATCAAAGCCTTTTTAACGTATGAACTTGACTTTTGAGGAATGTGAGGAGTTAAAGCTACAAAGACCTGTGTGGCACGTGGTGGGAATACAGCGAGACATTGTTTCTTA